ATTGTGAATTATAGGGTGTGTTTAAAGTGACTGTGGAGATTAAGTGTATTGCAAAGTTGTATCCAGGGAAAAAATCAACTAGTTTTATTTAAGAAAGGACCTGTATCGCTAAAGTTTCTTCGGAAAGAATTTTTACAGAAAATTAACAAACGACTAGAGACGTAACAATACATATATGACTATTATACACAATACATGAATACATTTTCAAATGAAGAAATACACAGGTTATTTAACAGAGTATTTAAAAATATAGAAAAATGTCATTAGCATGTTATGATTTTAAGCCTAAGGCCATATATCGTGATATATAGATCGGTTTGAAAACTTTAATACACTGCAACTGTCTGTTGAAAGAAAATGAGACGGTGATTCGGCTTTCAGACTACTTCGGATCACTGTAACTTATTTTTTTTCTCGCAAAGGGGCGCTCAAAAATTCACATTTTTTTTTCACCCAAACTGAATAACAGCAAGGCTAAAGTTTATAATTTACACAAGCACTGAAAAACACTTAGTTTCTGCTCTTTGGATAGCTTATCTTTAGCTCAAAGTCGATGTGGTATTTAAGGCTTTCCACTTTTACATTCTTTCATCAACCATGTATGATTACTGAAATATGATATCAGCTATTACGGTTAGCGGGAAAACGTTTAGGCACAGGTCTTGCTACCTTTACAGCATTGGTACTTAGTCCACGTGCTAGGTAGGAAAACAACGATTTATAAGGAAAAATTTTATTCGTGGTGGAACATACTAGATGTTTCGACAGAACATTAGTCTGTCTTCTTCAGGTATCATACAACGGTATTGTTTACAATGAAATTTTCTGAAAATAATCTTTTTTTATTGTAAAAGAACGCACAAGATTCAAACTATGAACATCAACGGCTTCTTATCTGGTTGTTTATTTGTTGTTTTTTTTTAATTATGCACAAAGCTACACAAGGTCTATCTGTGCTCTGCCCACCACGAGTATCGAAACCCGGTTTCTAGCGTTGTAAGTCCGCTGGTTCTTTATATTTTATTTTCTGCTACTGGATAATTAATAATTTTGTTCTTCCCTCTAAAGTATGAATGCGTTAATAAACATAGCGAAATAGCGCACACATTTTCTTTTTTTTAACTCGACATCTTTCTGTATTTAAGAATAACTTCTAATAAAAGTGTTTATCGTTGTTTCAAGTTACAATTATTTCTCAATCCTTTCCCATGTTTTTCAGACACGTATTACTTGAGAAAAGGCTTCCATTCGAAACATCAATAAACAAGACTTTTATTATTTGAAATTTAACTCGCGCAAGTTGATTTTTTTTCTCATATTGCAGAACGTTATTAATAAAAGCGAACCTGTATTGTTTCTTATGAAATAAATGAATTATATGAATAATTATGGAACCAGTGATGTAGAGGTTCCACGTGACCAACTAGTTGACCCTTCAACCTTACTATTTAACTAGAGTGATAGCCATACGTTTACTGTAGCTATTCAAATAAAGTTAACAGTGGTAATTTTAGACAAATATACTTTATATTAGTTCATTTCTATGACACGCTTTGTATGTCTCCAATCTCTTCTTACTATTATAGAGAATTTTGGATTATTTTTTCATTCCTTCAGTCAAACTAAATGTTATCAATGTGTTGCGAAAAAAACAACAAAAAACGTATGATTTGGACCGAAAAATACAGTTAATAACCATAAAATAATGAGTCTTCTCTTATAATCAAAGCCATAACTTTGACGGGGCGATCGGGGCAACTGTCTAATGCGCAAAGTGGTGAAGGGCGGAAAATGGCCAAAATGGTTTGCCACGGAACTCACTAGGGGGCGTAAATCTAATGGTCTGACCTATGCGCTGAATCATCCATTTACGACTGTGTTTACAATATCTTCAATTTTATACAAAATGAACTAGACGATTAGATTAATCTAGACAACAATACTTGTGATTCTCAAGTGTCCATGTGACAGAGATAATCTGATGTGCTCCAAAATAACGATTCTATGAAGGAAGCATATTTAACTTCCCTATTTTTAAGTTTAAGTATCCATGTGACAGAGATAATCTGATGTACTCCAAAATATCTTGTTCTACTATACATCAAGAGAATAATTCCATGGGGGTAACTTCCTGGTTCTCAACAAAGTATCTTGTTCTATATACATCAAGAGAATAATTCTATGGGGGTAACTTCCTGGTTCTCAAATTTCCACTTTTCCGTTTGATGTTAGTAAATATTCAACCACAAAATCTAGCAATCCTAAATATCTCTGTTCAGAAGTTACGTTGTGATAAAAAACGGATATAGTCGTGAAGGCCACATCTAAGGGTTGATTTTCAATCACACATACAAACGCTGAAATGCTTTACTGAAGAAATATTACCTGGTTTAACAACTCGTATCAGTTCCGGAAAACTATCTGTGTAGAGATGACCTGGAGCAAACCCCCCACAAACAACTACAACATCGTAGGTATCTGTTGTTAGAAAAAAACAAAACACAATTACATGATTTACACAATATAAAACACAACAAAAACTGACTACAGGTATATAAACATCACTATAAACAACATATCTGGTATAGTTTCATAAACACTAAATAAATCAATAGGTTTTCATAACAATTTTTAGGTTGTAGAACCAGTGAAACACACAGACATAAGTTGTTTTTTTATATTTTAGAAAGATCAAGGCCTAGTTAAATTTCACGTTAATTTTGGTGTACCACGTAAGATATGCCCCTAATACAGCAACAATTCATAAATATGTAATATTTGTCGAGTAGGGTAAATACCCGAATTATTTAAATGTTGTTTTACCTTTCACTGGTCAAACGCCAAATGCTCTTCCGTGGCTCAGCGGTAAGCTTGAGGGCTTATAACATTAAATATATGGGTTTGATAACAATGGGCACAGATAACCCAGTATGTAGTTTAGCGTTAAAAAACAAACAAACATTGGAAATAGGGCAGTTTATAGAGGTCAGTATCTAAATGACCAATTCACTGTAATAAAGCTAATAAACCACTTAACAAATACGTAAAGGATGAAGTGTAGTTTTATTTTCTAGTTATTTTATGTAAGGAAAAAGAAATTAAAAGTTTCTCCAGGAATACTGCTTTTTTGAACAATAATATATATATATATATACAGGTTTAGTTTTTAATTTCGTCGCAAACTACACGAGGGCTATCTGCGCTAGCCGTCCCTAATTTAGCAGTAGTAAACTAGAGGGAAGGCAGCTAGTTATCACCACCCACCG